TCTCTCTCTCTCTCTCTCTCTCTCTCTCTCTCTCTCTCTCGGTCTTCTTCTTCGTCGTGGTCTTCTCTGCAGGTGCGCGGCGGCTTCTCCAACCTTCGGGTCCACTATGGCGGACTACTACTCTCGGCGGCCACCTCTGCTATGGCGCATCAGGCCCTGCACACGACGGCGCGCATGGAATAGCAGGTACCAGCTCCGATACCAATGCAATCAGACTTGCTTTCATTCACACTTTTTATGCATGTAAACAGTAGCGCAGCAAACTGGTGACGTGCGCCCACTCAAAACTCAGAGATATGGCATTCAGATACGAGTTCACTTTCAACTGGCTATGGCGACTCAGCGCCCAAACAACTCACTGTTCACATACACCGGAACACCCTGGATATCCCACACGCGTCACTCTGAACACTCGCACATACACACATACACTTCACACTAAACTATAGCTATGGCAGCTATGGCTGCCTCTACCCTATCGCTATGCTACGCTCCTTCATTCACACTGGGACACACTTGTGCCAGCAGGGGAAGACAACCCGGAGGTTTAGAGCAAAACTAGCCAACAAAGGGTTTAGGGTTTAGGGTTCTTGGGACTACCATTCAAATGAGAGATAAAAAAGAAGGTCAAGGGGGATATGGGAAATATGGACGAAGTTGCAGGGTTAAGGAGCAATGGCCAGCTTAGCTAGCTTCATTGTTCTTTCTCGTTTTTCATGAGGAATCCGACAGGTCTTTTATTAGTTCAGAGACGAAAGAGGGAGGCAGGGCAAGCTGACAGTCAATCCCCCACCAAGCTGGGGCAATCAATGCTGGTCAGGGTTCCTTCGGCCAGACGGAAGGAAGGGGGGGGGCGTTAAAGATGTAATATTTTATTTTGAAAAAAAAAAAAAAAAAAAAAAAAAAAAAGAACTTCAGACCACTGCCTGGCATGCCCAGATAACGAACAGGAGGATATAATACACTGTCTGATTACCTGCAAATTCGCCACGGACCTATGGGGAAGAGCCTCAGCACTCTGGGACCACTTATTTCCCTCTCCCCTACCCGAACACCCAATCCAACTTCTCCTATGGACTAACACCTCCACTCTTCCTAACAAATCGGAACGCACCTGGTTCGGGATAATCAGGAAGGTAATACTGTGGGTCATTTGGAAAGAGAGGTGCAACAGGACAATCGACAAGACTACCAACCAGACCGAACACGTATGGGCGACGGCGAAACTGTTCATGGAGACCAATATCCGGTGTCAATGGAAGAAGGTCAGACTCTAAGTTCAACAAAACCCAGAGAAACAGCAAGAGTTGATATCCAACTTCAGGAGGGTGTGGCTGGTCCAAGGAAAGATAGCTGAGATTCAGGCTCTACAAATCAGATGGAAGGACGGACACAACTCGACGACCCCCAAGAGAATGACAACCCCCATTCAGGAAGAACAACAGGACTTCAGGGCGACATAAGACTCTTCGGACTCAATTCGGAGTGTAGTCTCGTTGCGTCTCTAGCTTTATCGCTTAACTGACGGACTCTGCTTGAGGGATCTGAGAGGAAACTCAGACAAGGGTGAGCTGACACTCAATCTTCCATGCCAATGGAGCAATCAATGCTGTTCAGGGACCCTTCAGCCAGACGAAAGGGGACGTGGGTGAATTCATTAATGTAAGCTGTTTCTATGGGGGGGAGTGGGGGGGGGGACAAAAGAAACAAAAAACAAAGGAGCGGGTGGTAGGTGGCAAGGTAGCAGCCATAGAGGCCTATCGTGTATGATGGAAAGACAGGCACAATTCAGAAGCCGGTCTGAGAAGGCAGAGGTTCCAGCCTGAAGGTGGACAAGAACCACAATAGGCTACATAAATCCTGTGGCCAAAGGCACAGTATAGTCATGTTATATAATGTCGGATGTCACCATCGTCTAGCCCTTTCTTGCTTTTGTGATAAATACGACAGGCTCAGATAGCTCTGGACCTGAGAGGAAAGGTAGATGCATGGCAAGGTGACAGTCAATCCTCCGCAATGCTGGAGCAATCAATGCTGCTCAGGGGTCCTTCGGCCATACGGAAGGAAGCGTGAGGGTGTTCTTATTTTAATTCTTTTGACTTGCCGGTGGAATAGGAACCGGACTGATGCTCCCCAGAATGGATATGGAGCCAGTCCCATAAGGACCTGTAATGGAAAAAAAGGGGAAATTTGTCTGGCGCCCCTGTAATTTGCATTATTTTGTGTCGCGCCCCTCCGACGACCGATTTACCCTGTCGCGCCCCTCTGAGCAGGGTTTAAATTTTCCATAAGACCCCGGTGTCCTTTGGGCCTCAAATCTTTTCGTTACGCCCCTACCGGTACCCGTCCCTAATTTGCGGGATGCCCCTACCGGATGGCCGTTACAAAGCCAGCGGGAAAATTTTCGAGATGCCCCTACCGGTACCATTTGCTGCCAAGCCATTTGCTGCCAAGCCATTTGCTCCTACGTCATCTGCTGCCACGTCATCTTCTGCTATGTCATCTTATGCCACATCATCTGCTGCCAGCGCATTTGCTACCAAGCCATTTGCTACTACGTCATTTGCTGCTACGTTATCTGCTGCCACGGCATCTTATGCCACGTCATCTGCTGCCAATCCATTTGCTACCAAGCGAGTTGCTACCAAGTCATTTGCTGCTATGTCATCATCCTCATCAGCTTCTGGCACGGCATCTGCTGCCAAGAGGGTGTCTGCTGCCAAGTCGTCCACAACTGCCACGTCTTCTACTGCTTTTCCAGATGCAGGGACGGATCCCTCTTCCAACAAACGAAAGGATGTTAGCGGTGGACAGTCTGAGTCAACGACGAGGGCAACGACGGCCTCAATGAATGCAAAGGTGGGAAAGAGGAAGTCTGGGACGAAAATCAGGGGGCGGGCGTTGGCTCTTTCGAGTCCGTATCTCGTCTCATCCGAAGGTTACGATCGAGTCCGGTTCGGGGAGAAGAGTTAGGGGCGTCAGAAGGGTGATTGCTGAAGTACAAAGCGCGTGTGCAAGTAATGTCAAATAATGTCAAATAATGACAGAGGATCTTGAGCATGCGATTGTTGGATGATATCGGCTCATTGATCTGCTCAACACGTAATCTCTAAAGGTGGATTGACAGGGAAATACCTCGTGATCTTCATGATTAATCATGATTAATCATATCGTGTGCTCTCTTCGGTGATAATGGCGAGATTTAGTAATGCAAAACACGTGGTGCAGGGAGTAGAGGTCTTCTGCGAAGCATGACGTTTCATATTCCGTGGCAATAGATAAGTCTTGTCTACTTAGATGCACGTCAATGTCGAATGGCTTTCGGGATGATTGATCGAGGGTGATCCAAGTATGTGTGCAAGTATTGACAGCGGGTCAAACTCTATGCGTGGTTCCATAAGGAAATACTGTATGCTCATCATGGTTTAATTTATAGTGTGCCCCGTTCGGCGCTAAAGGCGAGAGCCAGTAATGCCAGCAAGTAAAGTGAACATCAATCACGTAGTGAAGGGAATAACACCTGATCCAATCGGAATTAATGCTGATTCACGGTTGGTCTCGATCTTGGGAGAAATCGGTCTCTTGTTACGTAGATTTGCTACACGCTGATCGACGAGAAGAAGTAGCCATTATTTGGTAGTGTGCTTAATGCCGTTTCACGATTGATCTCGATCTTGGGAGAGATCGGCTTCTTGTTTCGTATATTTGCTACACGCTGATTGGCGAGAAGAAGTAGCTATTATTGATTGGTGGTGTGCTTCATGGAAAGGCTAAACACAACATATGCTCCTGTCGATGTTAACG